AAAAAAAAAAAAAGGAAAAAAAAAAAAAAAAAAAAAAAAAAGAAAGGGGGAGGAAAAAGAAGCTTACATAACCGTTATGATTTCACCAAAGCCCAGAACGATGCCGTGCATCTGCGCGATGAAGATGCTGGCAACGGCGACGAACAGCGCCGTCCCGTCCATGTTAATGTTGCAGCCGATCGGCAGGACAAATCTGGTGACTCTAGGGTCGACCCGGAGCTTGTCCGTCATCAGGCGAAAGGTGACCGGAAGTGCGGCAGCCCTGTACAAAACTGCGTTAGAAGAGATCGGGCAGGAGCAGAGATCGATTGATAAAGAAAGATCAGATTGCTGCGTAGCCGCATGTCCCATGGAGGAAGAAGGGGGTCATTCTGGCGTAGTATAGTCGTGTTTCGTATAAATTCTAAACGGAATTTCCTCGATATCGTATCGCATCCGAGGACGGACAAACGCAATGAGATGGATGAAGCGTGAATTGAAGAAAGCGAATAAGGAGATGCTCGATGAAGAGACACGCGCTAAGGTCGATTGATAGAGCGTTCGGTGGTACAAGTGGCATGGACCGGGAATGGTTTTCTCGAGATACTAGTAACCAGAATGACCGCTGGACGAACTGAAAATTCAACCAGGGTTAATGTCGACCGCCGATAGGGGCCAGTTGGGTGATTCCAGCCGGTCGCGTAACAAGGCCCGGCTTGCAACTCCTGTAACAGACAATCGCATGTACCTTCATGTTGCGGCCATCGATTACTTACCAAGGCCACCCTCGGTCTCTCAACCACCTGCAAAAGGCCGCGTGCAGCGCGTGTTCTAATACATCATCATGATATTCATACAGTCTCTGTTCAGATACACTAAGAGCTGTTTCTCTCAGTCACATAGCTGTATACGTTCTCTTCTGGAAAAAGTTAATCCACATAGAAAACAAGTTGAATTAGACAATAGCCGTTGCAGGGCAGTTTTACGATCTTGATGCGCCGCGCTGATGGGACGGAAAAGGTTTCGGCGCGCCGTTAGACACGATCGAGTGCACGAATGCTTTTCTGTCCCCACGATGCATCGAAAGGAACGAACGGGAGATGATGAACGTGCGAACGCGGGACGTCGAGGACGAAGGGGAAGTTGAAGGGAAATGCGGTTTGACCGGGGGTTTGATCAGAGTTGATGGTGACGAATGGATGAATGGACAAACTGAAAAAATGATCGTTGCTTCGCGTGATCCGCGGTAATGAACAGTCAAAGAAATATAGAGAATGATCGTAGTTCGGGTGTTCTGGCCAGTGATGGACGGCGCCGGCAAACCTGGAATAGCGGGCTCGACACGAGCAACCAATATTTTTTTCAGCTTTCCTCTTGTACTTTGGAGAATACTTAAATAAATAGCGTAAGTGGCACGAAGCCTGTTTTGGCGGTTTCGTCTTCTTCTATCCTTCCGCTAACACGGGTGACAGAAGATTCGGATAATGGAAGCCCCTTGAGCCTTCCACGCCAAGAATCAGTCCAGGTGACACGGAGTCAGCTGATTTCCGGCTAAATACACACGGACGTAACAAGAACAATTTCCGTGCACTTGTACAATTTTTCCACGCGTTTTTTTGCCTCTCGTTCGTTAGTTCGGCAGTTTGGCTGTTGCCTCGTCGTCATAATCAGCGTCATCGAAATTTCGGTACGTGCGTTCGGTAGATTGCGTTACAATTAAATTGAATGAAGATCGTACGTTCAAACGCGTACGTTAAAACTCTGACCGAAAGTTCGTCGATCGTACACTACCAACCGGGAGTATCCGCATCCTAAGTGCCACCCAGAACTGCATACCTCTCTCCCTTTCTTTCTCTCTCTCTCTCTCTTTCTCTCTTTCTTATTGATCACGACGAGTTTCCCCGCGTACAGCGCGGAAACATTATAGAAACATAAATGGTCCAAAGAGGAGTTTCGAAATGAATTTTGACGGAAGCTAGGACTCGACAGCGTTCGACAACGTGTTCGGCGTGGTAACGTTGTGAAACACTGCCCGGAAAGGATCAATCTGGAATGGGTGGCGCGGGACTAAGGCCTCGCAATGCCTCCTCTCGGCTGGCTGAAACATATTGTCTCTATCAATCGATTCAATTCTATTGCGTCGACCTGTTATTCGAGTCTTGATCGCCTTGCTGTTTCTTCGAACGTTCGACGAACGTGAATCGCGGCACGATGTATAATAAAAATAAAAGACACGGCGTGTCCGGGTGGCAAGGGTGACCCGGTGGTGAATCGCGATCAACCGAGTAGAAATAGTCAAATAATTAAGTGACGATGACGACCGAGGCCATGTGAGGTAGGCGATATGGGTACTCTGAAGGTCGGGCTGAGTTCGAAGATCGACGACTCACGTTGATGCCATGGCGAAGGCGGTGAGAGTACCCTGGGCGAGGCCGGCGTAGAATTTAAAAGGGTTCTTTCTCACGAAGGCCAAATAGATCAGCTGCATGATCACCAACTGATAGAAAAACACACCGATCACGATCGTGACGATGAACCAGGCGAGCTGCGACATCACCAATGCCAGGTCCGCGACACCGAGTATTTTCCCGGCGATTACGGAGGTGATGCCCACCGGTGTCATCCTACGAGCAAACGATTTTCACGTTTAATTAAGATCGTTGTTTCATACGTAGATACACTTGTACGATACAGCGTGTGTATAATGTAATTTAACCTGTTTCTAACGTCAACGCTAAAACTGGCATTAAAACTATCGACGAATAATATGAGTGAAAGAAATTGAACTGCAACGACTTGGAAGAGAGTTTATAACACAAGAAAGAACCAAAGTTTCAATTTGTAAAATCTATCAAAAATCATTTGAATTTGATTACTGCGAGGAATTAACAATCGATCGCCTCGACACGGACGGAAATAATTTTATAGAAATATAAAAATTATTATTCTCGAAATCTGGATTCGTTATATATACGTGACGTTTTAATACTTGAACACGAGTCTTTGTACGTACCACATTACAGTTGACACCATTCGCATAATAACCTCGAACACAGCCTTGAAGAAGTCGATCACAATTTGGCCTTTCTCGCCGAGAGTACCCAAGAATGTGCCGAACACTAGGCAGAAGAATACTATGCCCAACGTGTTCGTGCCGCTTCTGTATTGCGTTACTCTCATCAGTTCTTCGTCGCCCAGAACATCCGAAGATATGGAATCGGTCAGATTTTGAAGAGGCGGCGTCTTTGGAACGTATACGGTGTGAACCTGTCCAAGAAGTTTTCGTGTCAATGACATAATACACGTGTAGGTCCGGTTATGCAAGGATGTTACATAACTGGTAGTATGTTTGAGATAATTACAGAAAAGAGAGAACAAAAATTGTTTTATTCGAGGCTTCATTATACAGGATGAGTCTCGTTACGTCACGAGTTGAAATAACTCGTAAATTATTATTCGCTGTACGAAAATATATTTCAAAGAAAGTATGATAAAAACAGGTGGTTTTTCAGTGAATAATTATATACAGTGTGCACTTGCTTTGTTCTTTTATCGAGATTTAAAAAGAACTTTTCTCGCTTTATTCAAATCCAAAAAGAAAATATTAGATATTTCGTTGGTGTCGTGATACTTCTATTTTACCCACAAAAATTTCTAGCGATGCATTTTTGCTCATACTTTATCAAAAAGAATTTCTAGTGCAACAATCTTTTATATTAATGCTCGATTGTGATCGATAGTGTTATATAAATTATTATATTCATAATAATGGAAAAAATAATTAATACTGTAAAAGTAAAACTTTCCTTTTGCAAATTAATCTTTAGATAGAAATGAAAAATTTGCGAATTTTTCGCTTGGTGAAACTAGAAAGAAATATCAGTTGTGGTTCGTATAAAAATGCGCAATAATTTCTATTCGTGTTTGAACTGAAGGTTACTAAAGGGACAAAGTGAAAAAACTGAAGATAAGAAAGCAAAATGATTACAGTTAAAAAATTACAGTTTAAAAACTTTTGTTCGAAACATGGCAAAGAAAATAATTTACGAGCTATTTCAAGTTGTCATGTTACGAGACATAGCCTGGTATACTTGAATTTTAGATAGGACAAGAGCGAATAATCGACAGACATTATTCTACCAGCGAGAAAGAGTTAAAAGCGTAGGATAACGTTTGTTTCCGAGAAAGTTAAAAATAAAGATATATCAACATGCACGTGTATAAAGCTAATTCTGAACAGAGTACGTTCAATAAGTATTATTTTATAACCAACTACGAAGGATGACGCATGTTCGTAGGGAAAATTTTCCTCTATATTGTGCTCATCGAACTATAATCACGGCGAACATGTTCCAAGTGTCTCTTCTTGGGATCTTAAACGAAGAAACTCTATTTTCAGCCACAGAATAATAACTTTCTGTTTGACTAATCGCTCTTGTCCATTCTGAAATTAACCAAATCCCAATATAAGTGATATCATTTTTCGCAAGCTCGATTTTCTCAAAGACGGCGTCTAAAATGGAAGAAAAGGGAATCCTCTGGCCGGAAACGTATCACCAGTTACATGACATCCTGTGCATCGATGGCTAAAATGCGTACCTGCTGGAACGATGCTTGAAAAATATTATCCGGAAACATATTCCTGTAACACGCGAGAATACTCGAGTCAGATGCGGCGTATATTTTATAAGTGGTTAATCGATATCGCCGTTTATCGACGGTGTAATTTCATTAGCCGATAACGCTCCAACCGGACTTTTTTAGCGCGTGCAAATAAAGCGCCGGCGATCGATATTTTTATTTTCGTCACGGATATCATTCGGGAAAAGGAAAAAGTTCGCCGATCGTGAACACTGCACGACCTTAATTCCCGGTGGAACGCTCGTCGTGTCGTTCCGATAATTTATCACGGCTTGTGTGAATAGACGAAAAACGGAGAAACTAATTTTACGTGGCAGACTGACGTGCCGATTATCAATAAATCGTGGGTGATCCGGTGCCGGGAGCGATGGAAACTATCTTCGTTATACACGTACAGATAAGACGGACAAGTAATGGAATCGATGAGGATAATCCGATAGCACGCAAGGCTGCGATGAAAGTTGGCGCGGCGCCCCTGTCATCGAAAAATAGAGTGGAACGAGTCAAGCGTTGCTCCAACGACGAGGTAAAGGACTCTACTGTTTATCCGTAGGAAAAATCCCGAGGCGCTGTTGGCGTGGCGTCAACGCAGAAGTACAAAAATAACGTGCATGATCGATATCTAAACGGCGAACAGCGATTTCACAAACGAAGAGTGCAAGGGAACACCGCCTACCTTCCCAAATCGAGAAGGCTGTCCAAGATGTTAACAGCTCGCCCGCTGTGCGAGGTCGGGATCGATTTTCTAATTCCAGGATTACCCGGATGAATGAGTAGAACCAGGACAACACCAAGGACAGCGTTCAACAACGACGATAGTATAAAGTACACCAACGTTCGGACGGCGATCATTCCGTTCATTCTTGCGTTCAAGCTTGCCGAGCCTGAAAGTTATAAAACGAGATTCATCGATCAGCATCGCTGCCCCGATAATTATTTTCTCATATACGTTTTATTAGCTTCTTGCCTCGTATAAACGCATCGTGTTACACGCAGTTACCTGATATGAGGCTGGCAATCACCAGCGGTAAGATCATTAACTTTAACAACCTCATGAAGAGCTCTCCAGGATAACTGATTAACATAACTGCGTCATCGCCCAGGCCCAAGGGTCGTAAACCGAACCCTGAAAAAGAGAAGAAAATAATGAGATTATCGCTATGATAGCTGCTTCTAGAACGCTCAAGGCTATTCAGAACCAAGTGACGTAGAGCGATAGAAAGAAGTTCAGCTCCTGAACTTCTTTTCCGCGAAAAAAAAAAAAAAAAAAAAAAAAAAAAAAAAAAAAAAAAAAGATAAAAGAAAAAGTTATATCCACGCAATACACCCGTAGGTTATGTACGGACGATAACTCGGCTTTAAATTTATTAGCCGCAGAGAACTTTTCCATAATTATTATTTTTAATGCCGTGATTGATCGTTGATTGTCTATAGACGGAGAGGGGGGAAGTGGCGAGCTATAGAAAAAAGAGAAATGCTTTGTCGATGTGCACGTGCTGGATAAGTGTAAAAATGGAGCGCGTTTAACGTAATTGTGAACGATTTCAACGACAGCGTTAAAAGGGGTATTCTCGAGTTCGAACGTGGCACGCCGTGGCAATTAAATCCGCGAGAAGAACGACGAAAGGGGTAACTGAAAACACGTCGACAGTCCTCGAAACTGCCTGTTTCAGAGGCAGCCCTTCTCAATGCAACCCCGAAGAAAGGTTGACCCGTACGTTCCCGTTCAAGGTTGTCCTTTCGGCTTCCAGGCAATAAGTTGGTTAATTAGATGAGACTTTCCATTCCCCTTCGGGGGAAACCTTTCGTCGATGATTGCCACCTTTTAACAGGATGACACAGCTGGCGCTTTATGTAACGAGCGTTAATTTCAATGCGGATCGTTTCCGTTAATGGCACGAGAGGACTTATCCAATCTATATCCCTTCTCCTTTGTCCATTCCAATTTACGCCGGCGAATTTGACTCGCGAGGGAACGTCATTGACAGGTATAGATTCGCCGATTATGAAGCCCCGATCGTTAAGTAGCGCGCATAACCATTTATTAGCACGTGTGTGACGTTCGTACACGTGACGCAACAGGAAACTTGTCCACCCCCCTCCCCTCCCCCCTCCCCCCTCCCCCCGCTGTAAAATTATAACGCGAGAGAAATGAAAGAAATAAAAAAAAAAAAGTAGAAAAGGAACAAAGAGAAAAAAGAACGGGAGGGAACGGAGATAGCTTCTGCCTACGACTGTTATCGATCGTGAGGTAAAAAGTAAGATCGGCTGGTATCGGATGAACTCGACCTTGGCACGCTTTCCCGTAATGGACGAAAGCGTAGGGAGCTTTTGGCATGAGCTTTACCCGTTTTATCTCTCGGTGTACGTAATGTAGTTCGCCTTACAACTTTCGCGTAGCATCTACTATCGTACGTATATGTCGAGCCGCGAGGTGAAAAAATCCATAAAAGTTCGCAGCTCTACCGAGCAGCTCACCGAACGTTGTTCCCTCGAGTTTCGTGCTCGACGCACGGTGTCAGCCGACTGACATTTAGTTGACATATCGATGATTCGTTGACTCGCAAGAGAAACTCGCACCCGTGGCGACGTTACATGACAAATCGGGTGAACGCATTGAACTAACATTATTAGTTAATTAGCAGCTAATAATACTGTCGTTGTTAGCTGCGGATGAATAAAGGCAAAGGGCGAGATCGATCGTATCGTTCCTCGGCTTACTTACCGAGAATCACGCCGAACAGGACACCGGAAAGGGTAACTATGAGAAGTAGATTCTCCCGCATGAATTTCCTGGTGTCGGCGGTCACCTTACGGGGACCCTGAGAGGCCGACACGTCCTGGCCATCCATCTTGGCGAACAGATACTCGGAGAACCGAGCCGAGGACTTCTCCTCCATTTCACTTGGCCGCCAGTAAGCGGCGTAGGTGGTGGTGGTGGAGCCGGTCGCGCACGAGGACGCCGATCCTCTGGGCGATCGCCCCGCCGATTCTGCCAAGCTCCCTTCTCGCGATCTCTCGCGGCTAACGGCGGGGCCCCGGCAACACCACAACGACGACGGGTTGCCGTTTTGGGGGTGTTTCGGGAAATCCGTGCGGAACGAGCAATCACGCGCTCCCACCAAACGTTCCAATAGCCTGACGGCCTTTCGAGAGCCCGATAGCTCGATCGTGGTACCGGGAACCGATTTCACTTCGTCCGAGCCGAACTTGGACGAATCAATCGGTCGCTCGGCAGCGCAACACGATGGCCTCGTCTTACTACTCGCCGCGTTCACTTGACGTGCGAGCGAATGAAAATGTCACAAACTCTTCAGGATGATACGGAACACACGGTTCGATGATTCGTCGAGTTTTCTAAGCTTCGCAGGGACTTACTCTTTTTCTCTTCCTCTTTCTTTACGTATCGCCGTTAGGTAACCACGCCGTGTCGAACAGGCAGAAAGAACTTCTTGAAAGGAAAGGCGATCGATCTTGGCGCCGAGGTCACCGGTCTCTCCGGTGTAAGTTGCTTGATTCAGCCTGAACGTTCGCGTTGTCGCACAGGGTCAGTTACCTTTGAGAGAGAGCTAGCACCTTGCACCTTGGGGCGATATCGCTGCTTTGCATGCACCGAGCCGCTCGTGTCGCGTGACTCTTTTCTCCTTTATGGAACGCGGAGGATCGATCGAGTCGGACAATGTAACGATGGCTTGAGAAATAAAGTACTCGGGTAAATTTTGAATGGTCGTTTAGATTTCGATACGTTTATCACGAAGGATGAGCCCCAACTGGCCGGTTACTGGCGGATATATACGTATTGATTTGCCGAGATGTCCCTCGTCCCCGGCGACCCCTAGTCGCCTCCACGGGCTCGACCGGAAGACGCTTGCGCGAACTTCGGTGGCTAAGTCGGTCGCCAGAAACGGGGATTGTATACTGACACCGATGATATTGTCGTTAAGGCTGAACGACGATAGCCAGAATAGAATGGGGAACACAAAGAGTCGAAATAAAAAAGGCAGAATCTTTGGTAAATCAAACGATGATGGCTCACTGCATGACGCTTCGATGAACCGGGACAACTATCTGTCGGACACAGACGTATTTCATCGTAAAAAAAACGAACCTTTGACGCTTGTTCTTTGATTTGTCGCTGTTCCGAAAAATCGATGTCCTGATTTATTCAAGTACCACGTTGGTCTAGGTTTCCTCGTTTATGAAGAAAACCTAGCGAATGGAGATGCTCTCCTCGTGCAAATATTTCAATCTAAATTTCATCGTGCGACTATCTATGCATTTCATTGAGCGAGCAACGAAGCGATACAAATTTATATCGAGCGGGCTTACGTACCCGGTAAGTGTCCGACCGGGAACTGATCGAATCTACTTCTGTCGGGTCGTAATGGCTTTTACTACTGGGAACGGAGCAGGTGATTGTTACCAACAAGAGATGGAAGCACTAGACTTTATTGTGATAATTTCTCCGATGTCGAGTGAGGTTTGACGAGCAGCTTTGATCGGAACTTGTATTTTGATTAACAATAAACTCGTTGAGGAATCGCAACAACGAAATTCTTAATATCGATTTTTATACAAAATTGATTTTATCTTTCGACAAAAAAATATAACTGCGTTTGAAAGAGATATGATCATAAAAATATTTGCACTGTTACAGCTAAATGATGATTTATTTCTTCTCTTCTACCATATTGGTACTTTCGAGTAGATACTGAAGTTTCTGTCGCACTTGTGTGACAAATGTTATGCGAAAATTATTCTAGGAAGAAATCGACCGTTCCAAGGCGACGGATCACTGTTCGTGAATAATAGAAGTGAACTTCTTGTTCGAGATCGTTCCAGTAGCAAGGTGTCTACGTCGCCCACTTCCGACGGAAGTAAACCTTCAAGAAAAACGAAAAATAGTTTTTAGACAGAATTAAAAATTTTATTATTTAATTGTTACAAATAAACTATTAGATAAATTATTAATAAATAAGTAATAAATTATTACTACAAATGGTTAATTAAAAATTTTAAATAGTACTTGGAAATGTTGTAGAAGAGAATTTATTGTTTAATTGTTAACAAATAAATTATTAGAAATATTAGATAATGTTTAAACAATTTGAATATTCAGAAATATTATTTGAAAATTTACTTCTAAAATTTGTATCGATGCGTACGCAGTGAAAGTTCGATTTGTACTGAGCTCTTATTTCCGTATCGATCAAAATATACCTAATCGCGTTAATCGATCGGCGGGAAACAGTTTATTAAAATTTCGGAGAAACGTACATATTAGCGACTCGATCGCTACAAATGATCAAAATGAAAATTTTAAATAATTATTGGAAATATTACAAAAGAGAATTTATTGTCTAATTGTTACAAATAAATTATTAAAAATATTAGATAATGTTTAAACAATTATAAAAGAGAATTTATTGTTTAAGTGTTGCAAGCAAATTATTAGAAATATTAGATAATGTTTAAACAATTAAATTATTCAGAAATATTATTTAAAAATCCACTTCGAAAGTTTAATCGATGTGCACATGATGAAGGTTCAACTTATAATAGTTAGATAGTTTTTGTCAGTACTTCCAAAAACTTTTTCTATGACAGTAATCAATAATTTTACAGTTTTTAGGTTTTATTTAGTTAAAATTTTACAATTTCACAGTTTTATTGTTTTATAGCCCCTATTAATTTAAGGCAGCAATGAATACTAATTTCTATATTTTTTACAAAATGGAACTACTTTTGCATGGTTAGTTTTTAACTTACAATTCTGTTGACATGTACTAAATGCTAATTTATACGTCTGTATAATAATTACACTAATATATAATATAACATAATAATTACACTAATATATAAGTATATGATAATTATATTAATATATAAAATACTAATTTATGTAGAAAATAATCATGTTCGAGACAAAAATTAAATTGGTCGTCTTTTAAGAATAGCTATCTAAATAAGAAAGCGTTCACGTTTAATTTTATACTTTTCGATGTGAATGTAACGTTATTATACAGACGAGGTCGATTGAGCTGCATAAACGATAACAATACAATTATTATAATTATTTAATTTTAATTCATAAGAAAGAAACATATACTTATAAATATAATAAAATTCCAATATCATATATTCCATATCTAGAAAAAATGTTAAAAGCTATAGGTTTGTACGAACTCAACATTCATTCTGTTAAAATGATCTATTGTTCGATTTCGCAATCCTGATTTATGTGACGACGTGCTTCGTTCAATAAATGTATCTTATTATGAATTTTGTCGTGGCTATTAATTCTGAACAAGTCCACGTTGATCAGATGGAAAAGATATTATTTTAAATTGCAATATTTTGTATTTAATTTAATTTATTAATGGATAATCCTGCAACAATCACATATAAATTGCAAAAGGAAAAAATAGTCTCTCATATAATACCTGAATGTTAATGATAATAATCAGAACAGTGTGTACAAGTACAATCCTTTCACACATTAATTATAAAAGGAAAAACGGTCTCTCGTGCAATATTTGAACGGCAATAATAATAATCAGTATGATGTATCAGTATAACTCAGTGTATCAGTATAACTCTGCTAAATTATAAAAGGAAAAACAATACTGGGATAATAACAATATAAATCAAAACAACAGAATTGCAAAATTAGATAATGAAAGCGAGACTTGATTATTAAATTGACGATCGAACCAGAAAATGAGTTCAAATGATTAATATATCTAGTAGTAAATTTAACAGAAACTTGTAACGAGAGAGCAATCAAATTCAAACGAAAACGATAGCAAATAGAAAAAGAGATACCGTCAGACTGGACATTGTAATATATTGAAGTTAACTGTATTTAATTAAAATTAAATTAAATTGAATATGGTAAAACAGATTAACACAATTGATTTTAGCATCAAAATTTAAAATCATAAAGAAGAAGAAACAAAATCGTGCACGTTTCTTCTCTCCTCGTGATATAAACAATATAATCTTTAATTTTATAATTTAATTGTTACAAATAAACTATTAGATAAATATTTAATATAAAATTTTTAATAAAAACAATAAATTCTCTTTTATAATTGTTTAAACTTTATCTAATATTTCTAATAATTTATTTGTAACAATTAGACAATAAATTCTCTTTTATAATATTTCCAACGATTATTTAAAATTTTCAGTTGATCATTTGTAGCGATCGAGTCTCTAATATGTACGTTTCTACGAAATTTTAGTAAACTGTTTCCCGCCGATCGATTAACGCGATTAGGTATATTTCGATCGATACGGAAATAAGAGCTCAGTACAAATCGAACTTTCACTGCGTACGCATCGATGCAAATTTTAGAAGTAAATTTTCAAATAATATTTCTGAATATTCAAATTGTTTAAACATTATCTAATATTTCTAATAATTTATTTGTTAACAATTAAACAATAAATTCTCTTCTACAACATTTCCAAGTACTATTTAAAGTTTTTTATTAACTATTTGTAGTAATAATTTATTACTTATTTATTAATAATTTATTTAATAATTTATTTGTAACAATTAAACAATAAATTCTCTTCTATAACATTTCCAAGTACTATTTAAAATTTTTAATTAATCATTTGTAGTAATCGAGCCGCTAATACACTTCCAAGAAATTTTTAATTAACTGTTTAACTCTAATTTAGTCTTTTACTATTAATTTGTCAAACACAAATATTTATGCAATATCTTAAATTATGCCTTATTTTACGGATACCTTTTCTCTTTGAAACAAATTACTTAAATTCCATACAAGTCGTGACTAGTGTGATAAATATATAAAACAGTACTGATTTACAATCATTTACTTTTAATTATAATGACCCGTGCGTATTCTTTCCTTTTTTCATTTTGCTCAAAAGTTAAAAAGGTAAAAAAAAGAAGGAAACACAATCAATATAAGAAATATAATATATAGATTAGATCCAGAATTCGGATATTAGTGTTCTCAAACATAAATCTGAATTAGATATTTTTGTATAGTAGTGATTTGTTTGCATGGATGATAAAGATTTGTGTTGATCTCATTCCTTAAGTTTCCAGAATTTCGAAAGTTTCGAGAACTTTGAAACCATGCGAAGTTGAAGTTTCAGATTCAAGTTTCGAAAATTAAGTTTGAATACATTTCTAGTTTAAACCAAAAGATTTGCAGGTATCTCGTACAAATATTGGAATGTGATATATCTACGGCAAAAAAGAGATTTCACTTACTTTATTTCTATAAAATATTGGATAGATAAATATGACATTGCTTGA